AGAGAGAGAGAGAGAGAGAGAGAGAGAGAGAGAGAGAGATTTTTTCTTTGTCCTTTATATATAAATTTGAAGCAATTGATGACCTTTAAGTAAAGAATGTAGATTCTTTTCCATTCTAATGTAAAAAAGTGGAATTTCTTGTTTCCTTGAAATAACTGACAGGAAAGGTGCTGAGAACATAGTGGAAAGTGAAATGATGCTTTCTTTATCACCACTCAGGACTAGTTCATATTTTGAGGAATGGATTTATAATGCATATATAATTGTTTTGTTTTATTTTTGAGACAAGATCTTGCCATATAACTCAGGCCGGCCTGGAATACAAGACACCACTGCCCCAGCTTCGAAGGTGTCAGGGTTACAACCTACGCTTGACTTCTAACTTTGGTTTTACAAATCTTTGTTTAGAAACAGATTTCTCAGTATAATGGATTATTGGTGGGTTTAGAAAGACTTGTAACATCATGAAAATTTTGAATGTCTAAAGTATTCTAAGCAGAGAGGTAGACTGATTCTGGTATCAGGCATCCTGTTCAAACTTCTGCACATCTGCAAGGACAGCAGGAGCTTGCTTGGAGCATAAGCATCAAACATCTTTCCGTTGACATTTTTTTAAAAGTGTTTGCTTTTTTAAACAATATTTTAATTCCAGTGTTTCTAAAACTCATTTATGGAGAACCTAATTTCTGCTATCCCGTTCGCATTTGTAAGTGCAGAATTCCCTGGGAATTGTAAAATGAAGCACTGGGGAGAGGAAGCAAGATTTCGGTGGACCTCTGACATGTCAAACACTGTACTGTTGTCTCATTTATTATTTTACAGGACATAGAGACACAACAAGGTCCGTTAACCAGCTTGTAGCATTCAAGGAAGGTGTATCTTGGAGGTAGGATTCGTGGATCAACTATGGCCTCATGTCCAAATGTCCTGTGACATTCTTGACCACTATTTATATTAGTGAATCCAGCACTCTTTCTCCCTCTGCAATTTCTTGCTAGTTTTTTTTTTTTTTTTTTTTTTTTTTTTTTTTTTTTTTTTTTCCTAATGTGTATTTCAAACTGTGATTCTGTAGTTTTGGCTCTTGTGGCAGAGAATGTTCTTGCCCTTTCACTGGAATTTGTAGAAGGTGCTCCCTGTGGAGGTATCATAACTGTGATGGACTCTAGTGTTTGTTCTCATAACAACATACAAAGCTCCACTCCATGCATTCAGCATCTGCCTATGCTTTTTTGAATGCTACTCATCCTAACTGAGGAAATTCGAAGACAAGCTGGGTGCGTTGGATGCCACTTTGGATTAGGCTTAAGTAACTTCCAAGACAGATTACTTGTTGGCTCAAGATACCTGTTTCTCCATCCACCCCACTCATGTGTGTATGTGTATGGTGTGTATGCAAATGTTTGTGTCCATATGTGTGTGTGCAAATGCTGGCTCATTTGTGTGACAGCCCAAGGTTGTTGTCCGGAGTCTTTCTGGATAGTCTTACTCTCCATTTTATTGGTTGAGGCAGCTTCTCTCAATGGCACCCAGAAGCTGGTTGGGAAGGCCAGTCTAGCTATCTTTGCTCAAGACATCCCCAGTCTCTACCTTCCTAGTGCTAGAATTACAGATATTTACTGGGCTGTGGGTCCAAATTCCAGTCCCTACAAGCAGCCAGCACCTTTAAGTTGTCAAGTCATCTCTCTAGCCCTTTGGCTATCTTTACTTTTTTTAAAACACAAGTGTTCCAACTTTCTAGACAAAATCACTTCTTTCAAAACTGGAAGTCATAGAAAGGAGAGGACTCATTCACTCTGTGAACATGTTCCTTGATTGTTGTCATGTCTTAATGATCTAATAAAAGAGCTTCACTAGCAAATAGGAGGAGAAGCTTAGGGTAGAGATTACCTAGGAAGCCTCTTCTGTATCCTGTATCCTCTCAAAGTCTTGAGCTCTGGGCCATTCTGGGAGGTCCTGCTTCGGAATCCAGGAAGGTAACATTCCTAGGTTTACAGCTCCCTTGCCAAATCAGCTTCTTAATGGGTTGAGTTCCCCCATCACCTGCCAGGTGGTGCTTCTCCCATTAACACATTCTATTTGTTTTGGCTTTGACCTCTGTTTTGTTGCACAGCTTGGGGGGGAACTCAGCTAGTTAGGATTTCCTTTTCAGTAAAAGGGGGATGTTAATGACACACCATTGTATGATGCTCTTGAGAAGGTGAAACATTTAGGTAAAGTGTTTAGGATTAGGACTGTTCCCGCCACCTTTGATTTTAATTTGTAACTCTAATTTACCCCTCTGGGTGCTAGGTAGGTGTTCACTCATATTCTTGTGGGAAATAGCCAGACAGCTGCTTTCCTGGACCTCTAGTGCATTTCATAAGCCTCCTCCTGGCACTCTGCTCTGCTACACACAGGTAAATCAGCTGAAAGCGCCGGCTGTTTGTGTTTAAAAAATGGACATTATTGAGACACATTCTCTTACAACTTGATTGTGTGTGTTCGATTTCTACCAGAAAAGAGTCACAGCTGGGCTGAAGACAAAGAATAGAATGTGGCTTTAATTGTGCTGCAGAAAACCAATTTTAGTATCCTAGATTTTAGGTTTGTAAACCAATAGGACTTTAAACCTCTGGAGATTGCTATATAGAATTTCATATAGTGGGTGTCAGAACCCAGAACTCCATTCTTTGTTCACAGTGAGACTACATTTACTCTTTGTTCCTAAACTGTAATTCCTAGGTTGGTGTATGGATTTCTGTCATACAACTGGGAGAAGAATCTCAAGGTAGAACTGTCAGAGTTTCTATTTCCTGACTCAACCTAATGCATCAAAATGTAACTTGGAGTATAGGTGCTGAAGTCATGTGTAATATCAACACCTTGTAACGTTTCTAAGAATTTGATGAAGGTGTTACAAATTACAATTTAATTTATCATTCAAGTTCATGTTTTCATTTATTTCTTAATGGTAAAATATTTTTAATTGTGGTTTCAACCACATATATTTACTCCAACAGAAAATGGGACCCATTGTTCCAAGTGAGTTAGGACTCTAAGCCATTCCTTTCCCTTTTAAGAAACGTAGCAGCAATTCTTGGATGACACAATAAAGACCTTTCTTGAAAATAGGAAGAATATTTTAGTCATCTTTGTGTTTGTTTCTCTTTTCTTGTCTCCTCCAACTCTTAAAGTCAACCCAGACAGAAAATTAGCATAGAACGGCGAGACACATTTTGACTGAAGAATAGTACTCTGCGACACCTGACTTTCAAAAAATGTGGGTTATTTCACTATCATGAATCATGATCACAAGAGGTGTAGTGAAGAAAAAGCACATTTTCTGTTCTGAATGGATGATAGTAAGGGGTGGGGAATAGCTGGGTGAAGAGAGCTCAGGGTCCCGCAGGGAGTAAGCAAAGCAGGTGAGCTCACCAAGAGTTTCTACTCTTGTCCCGTGGCCTTGCACTGTGCTTCTCCTCTGACCTACTACACTTCCTGTGGGGACCAACAGGGGCCCTGGAGTGTTAGCGTTTCAAAGTTGCCGTCTTTAACGAAAAACAATCACAATTTCTCAAGAATGCAACATGTTGGTGATTTCTTGCAGGCGTATGATGCTACTAAAAACGTGCTTCCAGAAGCAATGGGTGACAGATTTGTCATGTATGCTGTGCGGATTCTTCAGAAAGTTGTTGATACATTATGAAGTTTTGTTGTTGTTTTTTAACCAGCTACACGGTAATTCTAAAATGGCTGGCCCTGCCATTTTGTGATGCCGTGTTGAGTTCTGGATATAAGGAGACAGATAAGAAACCATGGCACCTGTACTCCCTTTTGGTAGCTTGGGCCCACTCATTGAATCGTTGTCTCCTCCACTTACTGGCTTGCAGGCTTGGTAGCTGAGACTTCCCTTTCTTTGTTCTTTGTCTCCATGCATTACTTCTAAGGTGTGGCAGAATGCATGCGACATCCAGGCTGCTCCGCAGCCCCTGCGCAATTGACTGGGATTCTTGACTCTTCACTCGGTGGGAGGCCTCCTGCAAAGTTTGCCTGCCCGACCCTAACGCCCCTTTGTCTCCCCTTGTGCTTCCTTGCAGAACTCCAAGATGGGAGGCAAGCTGAGCAAGAAGAAGAAGGGCTACAATGTGAACGACGAGAAAGCCAAGGACAAAGACAAGAAGGCTGAAGGCGCGGGCACC